CCTGCACTCTCTGATAGAACCATAGAATCACAGAGTTGAAGAGTCTACATGGGCCACCCAGTCCACCCCCCATTCTGCCATGCAGGAAAAGCACAATCCAAGTTCCCCCCACAGTTGGCCATCAAGCCTTTGTTTAAAAAGCCTCTAAGGAAGGAGCTTCCACCACACCCCAATACAGAGAGTTCCACTGTTGAATCACTTTTACAGTCAGGAAGTTCTTCCTAATGTTTAGGTGGACTCTCCTTTTCCGTAACTTGAACCCACTGCTCTGAGTTTATTTTATTATTATTTTATTTACAGTATTCATGCTGGGGAAAATGGAAGGAAAAAGGAAGAGGGGTCGACCAAGGACAAGATGGATGGATGGGATCCTTGAAGTGACTGGATTGACTTTGAAGGAGCTGGGGGTGGTGACGGCTGACAGGGAGCTCTGGTGTGGGCTGGTCCATGAGGTCACGAAGAGTCGGATATGACTGAACGAATGAACAACATTCATACTCTGCCCTTCTCAACCCCGTAGGGGACCCATGGTGGCTTACATATATAGGCAACAATTAGATGCCAAAAACACACATAATAAAAACATAAGCATTAAAACAATCATTAAAATGCAATAAAACCTTAAAACCAATTATTTAAAATCACACAATTTTATAGCATAGTCCATGGTCATTCCAATTTGTTGTTGCACTGTTTCATCTTTTTATTGCACTGCTAGATTACTCATTGAATGCTTGGTGGAACATCCATGTTTTTAGCCTTTTCCTAAAGGTCAGGAGGGAGGGGGCCTATCTAATTTCACTCGGGAGGGAATTTCATAGCTGAGGAGCCACCACTGAGAAGGCCCTGTCTCTCATCTCTGCCGACTGTGCCTGCAAAGGAGGTGGGATCGAGAGCAGGGCCTCCCCAGAAGGTCTTAATCTCCTTACCAGCTCATAGAGGGAGATATGTTCGGACAGGTAAATGGAACTGGAACTGTTTAGGGCTTTATAGGCTAAAGCCAGCACATTGAATTGTACTCGGTAGCAGACTGGCAGTCATTGGAACTGACACAACAGGAGGAATGTCCTTTCTCTGTACGCTACTCCGGTGAGTAGCCTGGCCACTGCCCGTTGGAATACTTGAAGCTTCCGAACAGTCTTCAAAGGCAACCTCACGTAGAACATATTGCAGTAGTCTATTCAGAATTTAACAAGAGCATGGACCACAGTGGTCAAGTCTGGCTTTCCAAGGTAAGGGCACAACTGGTGCACAAGTTTAGAGTTCTAGTCTCCAGGAGGGCAGAAAACAATCCTGCTCCCTTTTTCTTATGAAACTGGTTTCCCGCTACTCAGCCACATCCCATCTACAAACTAAATGCCCTCAACTAGTTCAGCAAGAAAAGTCTACACTCCTGTTCTAGGGAAGGATGGAGAAGGTGGACCCAGGGCACGAGCAAAGGAAGAAGTGCTATAGTTACTCAGAGGTTTGATAACTTCTTTCCGTAAGTAAAAGGAATAAATACAATGTACAGAGGGGTTGTAGAGATTCATGCCGACATCTCCTAAGGCATCCTCCTTGAAACACAGGCCTCCCAGACTGCATACAGTACCACGCTTTCTCTCAATCTCTCTTTCTGACAGACACACAGGATTAACCCTTTTAATGGATTTTGTCTTTCCATCTCCAGTTTCCCTCAGTTAGCACCAGTACATTGCTGCCATCTGAGAAGCATTCCTGGTTTTAAATTATTTTACTTCCCCTTTCAGTTTTAATCTGTTTTGTTTGTTTTGAGGATTTGCATAAATTTTATATTTTAAGGCTTTGTTTTATTGATTTTTCTCTCTCCATCTCCTTCCTTTTGATGTACTAATCCCCTTTGTGTTCTTTGAGTGCTTCTTCGGGGCAAAAATATTCCATTCATATCGACAATGAAACCATGCACATATCTAAGAAGTAGGCTCCAATGAGTTCAGTTGCACTTCCCTCTAAAAGGCCATTGGAGTGCCTGATATTTTTTTAAAATGACAATGATGTTTTGCTCCTCAACCATGTATTTTATTTCATTTATTTTTGAAACTATAAGTAGTGTATCTACTGACTTGCCTGAATTTTTAGCCAAACAACACTTATCAGCTAAAAATAGGATTGGATTAAGGTGATCATATGAGAGTTATGGAGAAGCTGGGATGTTACTTGATCTATAATGTGCATTGAACAGTAAATGCAGAATTCATGCAAAGAGCGTAGATCAGGGAGAAAGTTTTAAGTTTTAGCTGGGTCTGATAAAAGTATGCTTGGTTTATAATAATGCATCATATAACATTATATCTATTTTTAGTCATGCTGTGAACACATGAACACATATGCATAAATTCCAAAACTTCTCTACCTATAACAAAGTAATATAACAACAATTAAAACAATAAATAGAACATTAATTAAAACAATAAAACAGTAAAAACAGTAAAAAACAAAACAAAACAGTATTGACAGCCATATCACCATTCCAGTCAAATTCCATATCCAAAGTGCTATTTATGCCTGCTGTCCAAAAGCCTGGTAATGGTGGCCAGGAAAGTTATTTTCTTTTTAAAGGCATTTTAAGGGGTTGTGGGAGGAGGTAGGGGCTGTCTTGGGTTTCTTGGCCTCCAAGAGCCCAAGAAACCTGAGGCAAATGTGTAGACGGGCACCAGAAGTCACATGGTGCAATCCCCGGTCCCCATCTGCACAGCGCCCACAGCTGGAAATACCAGGGTTTTCTGAAAGACCCAGATCTTTCCAGCTGAAAAATTACTTCAGAACAAAGTGAGGGCATGCACTTTAGGTGTTGTCTGGATGCACCCTCTGTCCCCATGAATCCTCTTTTGGGGGCCAAAAATACAGGGGCAAATTTTATTTCATTGTGGTTGTCTCAGAGTTGCTGCCACATGGCTAAGAACTGCATCCTCCCACGTACCCAGTGACCCTATTATATTGCAGAAGTGCGGTTGCTTCTCAATACAACCATCCTAACTGGCACAACCGTAGGAATTTTCCTAGTTATATCATCATGTGCCAGGCTCATTTTATTCTTCTATTTAAGCTGCTGGGAAAGATGAAAACCAAAAAAAGAACCTTTACATTTTTTTATACATCTAGGTAAATGTAAGTCACAGAACCCAAATGAGCTTTGCAAATTTGCCCTCATTCTGTCATTTTGTTTTAGATGTAATTATAAACTTGTTCCCAGCTTATCCAAAAACTGACTAATTCCCAGACTCTTTGTAAATCTGGCATTTCTCTAGAGGCCAAAATAAGGTTGGAACTGAGAGCAACTGTTAATCAGAAGAGGATTTAACATTCCCTCTAGGTCTTTTTCTTAATATGTGTTTTAAGGGCTACAGTAGTTGGTGCATTTTAATAGTAATTTTACAGTGTTGAAAAAACCCAGATTTAAAAGCAGACATTTCATGTGCATTGAGTTCAGCCCTAGGCATCATGCCAGCAGGTGTTTTAAGACTTTTACCACTGCACTGATAACTATAAAAGTTATGGCTTTAAAAATACATTGATATTCTTCTGATGTACAGGAAAATATTTCCAATTTAATTTATAAGATGAATTTAATTTAATTTTTCAGATGTATCACACTATTGAGTCTTATCTGTGGAACTGTGAACTCTACCTATACAGTACCTGTACTTTTCCTATCCCATTAAACCTCAGGAAATACTAACTCCCTTTCAGCTTTCTTAAACTTTTCATATTATGGAAATTGTTCTGGATTTTAAGAAAATAAGTTAAAGGCTCTTAGATATTTCTATACGAGGGTGCACAAAAGCATTTATGGGGAAAATATGAGCTTTCATAGAATTAAAGAGGTGGAATGAAGACCAAGCGTAAACTAGTCCAATTTCCAGCTGGTGTATGAACCCATTGTCAAAGCATGATTAACAGCTGATCAGCCAGTCTCTGTTTAAAAGCCTCCAGCAACTCTGTTCCATGGTTGAGCAGCTCTTCTGTCAAGTTCTTCCTAATGTTTAGGTGGAATTTCCTTCTTATAATTTGAATCCATTGGTTTGGGGTATTTCCTTCATAACAGCAGAAAAGGAGCCCTATCCACATTTTTCATGACAGTCCTTTGGTTGTATTCCCTTTCAGGTTTCCCTTCTACTAGTTAGATATACCCAACTCAGTAACCCAGTGGTTCTTAACCTGTGAGTCCCCAGATGTTTTGGCTACAACTCCCAGAAATCCCAGCCATACCAGCTGATTTGAAGGCCAAGACATCTGGGGACCCACAGGTTAAGAACCACTGCCTAACCAAAGCCATTCTTCATAGGGAGGGATTGCTTTTTATGTCTTTTACCACTTTATTGATCTCCTCTAACCATATTCAGCTTGTCAATGTCCCTTTTAATTTGTGAAGCACTGAAATAGACAAAGTGTTCCAGGCGGCGTCTGACTCTGATAGTCTTTGGGAAGGGCACAAAATTAAGGAAAAGTGAAGATAATTTACCATCCAATCTGTTGAAGTATGCCATAACTCTTCAAATGTGAGGACAAACAGGACAGCAACACAGAAAGGAGGACCTTAATAGCATTTTTAAATGTAGATCTCACATATAACCACAACTACCCTGCAAGCAGAGTAATGATGAGCTGATATAGTTCAACACTGTTTTGCTGTTATTTGACTGTGTTGGTGTTACTGGCGGGCTCCCTTAAAAATATTTGTCTTCTCAAAGGTGGACTATAAATAATTATAATAAATAAATAATCTGTTGATCATCCAAAAGGTGTTTTCAGAAGCATTCCTTTCCAGAGGAGTAAAATATCAGACAGTTAAGAGAAGCTTGGCATAACCATTTTATGCAAATGGTTTTGTGTGTGGGCAGGAAATGTTTTTGCTTAGAAATATGTATCCTGACAACATTGAAGGGTTTATGGTCTTTCTAAGTATTACCACATGGATAAAATGAATACATTAGCTTTCCAGGGGTTTCTTCCCACACCATCATGATAACATTCATACTCACCACATTGTCAACAGCACCTGTCCCATTGGCGAGCTGGCACTCTTCTGCATGGCCATTACAAAAGCAGCTGCCACGTACAATTAGGTCATAGATGGCATAATGGGCAAATCGGTGGGGTTTCTCCAGCAGTCCTGGGCCATGGCAGGGACACTCTTGCCTCTTTAAAAGCAAGAGCCGCAAATTGGTGAGTTTCAGGAGATCTTGTGCTTCAGGACTATATGGGTCTTCAATTTTGTTGGCAGGAGTTAAGGCACGAAAAATCACCTGGGGAGGGAGGACAAAAGGAAGAGGGAGAAGGAAAGATAGGATGAAACACAATCATCTACCTGCAGTCAACAGAGGATATACTCGTGACAATCACACAGTGTTTTTATAGCACTCTGACTGACATGGCTTCCCATAAAGAATTACAGGAATTACGATCTGGGAAGGACTCTCCAAGGGTACATCTACACTGTAGAGTTAATACAATTTGATACCACTTTAACATCCATGGTTTAATGCTACAGAATCATGGGAGTTGTAGTTGCTGAGGCACCAGAACACTTCTGTAGAAAAGGCTAAGGAGCTTATAAGGCTACAACTCCCATGAGTCCACAGCATAGTAGTATCAAACTGCATTAATTCTACAGTGTAGATGCATCCATAGTCAGGATTTTCCAAATTCTGGTCATCCAGGTGTTTTTGATTTCACCTCCTGAAATCAATGACTGAGGCAAGTGATGCTTTTAGAATTTGCTAAACACAATGGTAAACAGTCTGAAACACCAAAGAACTAGTTTGGGGGATCAGTGCTTTATGTTCTCCCTTAGTATGCAAGTGTTCATGGAAGTACTGAAGTCACTGACAGAAAGGTTCCTTGAAGTAAAAAACACTGCAATGGAAAAGTTATTTACTTTTTGTGGAACTACATTTCATGTATAATACTTTACAGGTTAAAAAATGACTGTTTTTACTACCAGCAAAAGTACTTTGAGTTCTTTGACTCATGCTGTGTTTATGGGCAGCAGCAATCTTTGTCTGAGCCCTTATCTGTGAAGTGAAAGCAAAAGCTGTGCTGTGTAAAATCATTTCTCCCACCTCTTGTTGTTTTCAAGAACAAGGGTTTAGCTTTTGAAGGTTTAATGACCTCTACTATTCACCAATAGCTCATGGTACATAAACCCTGTAAAAATAATGGAAATCAGCTGTCTGGTTTGGGATCTCTGTGCCTGGCAAAACACTGCAGAAAAGTCTGTAATGAATTTCATGCATTTCCTTGGCTCCTCTCAAAGAACACCTTCCCCATTCCTTCCCCTTCCTTGCATCTTTTCCCCATCACTTGAAGAGAGACAGACTTACAAGTGGCCCAGGGTTCAAACTGGAGATGTCTCTTGCTCATGGGAGCAATGGGCACATTGCCCGGCTTGTCTAAGCAGTGCAGGTGCTTACTCATTCCCTGGTCAATGGAAGCATGAGAAAATAACACAGCCCCTTTCCGGCCAGCTGTCCACATTCCCCGGATGAATGGAACCATGTGCAAAGGGCCCATTCTGTTTAGCACAGGTGCCCAGCATTCCTTCGATCGCCAGGATTCAAGGCCAGTGACCAAGTTTACTCAATCCACGTGCCTGCCTCGGCTTGGCTAATGGAAACAAAGGCGAACAGACTAGCTTATTCTGCTCAGATAGCACTATCCCATTGTTGGTATAGAAGCACTGAAATCAAATATGAATTCAAAACCACCAAAGGCACATATCTGGAACTGAGATTTCCCCTTCTAAAGTCCTACATTCCAGAGCTCCACATGGTCCAGAAACGAACCTTTCAAATCCGGCAAGGGCTTTTCCCTCTTTATTGTTGAACTTAGTTGTTAAACAAACACCTCCCTGGATCCCTTGGTCCTAAATAATTACAGACCAGTATCTAACCTCCCTTTTTTGGACAAGGTGATTGAGAAGGCTGTTCCCCTCCAACTCTTGGCAGTCTTGGATGACACACACTTCCTTGACCCATTTCAAACTGGCTTAAGAGCAGGATATAGAGTTGAGACTGCTATGGTTGCCTTAATGGATGATCTCCATCTTAACACCAACAGGAGAAGTGTATACCTGTTGGTGCTTCTATAACTCTCAGTGACTTTTAGTACCATCATCCTTGGCATCCTTCTGGAATTCCTGGAGGGGCTGGGAAACGGAAGCACTGTGTTGCAGTGGTTGCCGTCATACCTTTCTGTCATGTTCCAGATGGTGGTGCTTGGGGACAGCTGCTCCTCAAAAAAAGTAGCTGTTATGTGGCATCCTACAAGCTGCCATTCTATCTCCAATGCTTTAAAATATTTACATGAAATTGCTGGGAGAGATCATACATAGGCATGGAGTGGGGTGTTATCAGTATGCTGAAAATATATTTCTCCATACCTTCAAAAATATCCTCACCTAAGGCTAGTGTGTCTCTTCTGAATGAATGCCTGGAAGAGGTAATTGGCTGGATGCGGAAAAACAAACTGAAACTGAATCCAGACAAAACAGGGGTGCTTCCCATCAAGGATCCTAATCTGGGGATGGGGTTACACTCCCCCTGAAAGACAGTGTCTGCAGCTTGGGAGTGCTCCTGGATCCACCTCTCCAAATGTCAGCCCAGGTAGAGATGATCAGGAATGCTTACTATCAGTTTCGGCAGATACTCCAGTTGTGCTCCTTCCTAGATTTGGACCAAAATTTGGCAGCCTCAAGGTTAGACTTCTGCAATGCACTTTACATTGGGCTACTTTTGTACCAAGTTTGGAAACTCCAGCTGGTTCAAAATACAGCAGCCAGATTGGTTACAGGAACATCTAGAGGGTGAACATATTATACCTATCCTAAAGTCACTACACTGACTGCCAATTAGTTTATGGGCAAAGTATAAGGTGTTGGTTTTGATCTTTAAATACCTATATGGTTTGGGTCCAGGGTACCTACAGGATCACCTTTTCTTACACAATCCACTGTTTAGGGCACTGTGTTCCTCTGGGGAGCATTTATTCCAGCCCACCAGAATCTGGCTGCTGACTGTCACCCAGAAGGCCTTTTTATCGGCCACCTCAAGACAGCTAGATCAGGTTAAATCCACCTAAAGACCTCTTTCTTCTGGTAGGCTTATCAAGCCATTTTATATTATTATTATTATTATTATTATTATTATTATTATTATTATTATTATTATCACCATCATCTGTTATGTGTCACTAGAATGGCCATGCATACTAAACTGAGAAAGTGCCAGAGTTGGAAGGGCTTTTAGAAGGACATTGTGTGTTACATGATTATAGCACTGCAATTCCACTTCAACTGCCATGGCAACATCCTATGGAAGGCTAGTGTTTGCAGTTGAGGGAGACGCATTTAGAATTCTCAGTTAAAGAGCTCTGGTGCCAAAGCAAACTAGTAAACACACCTTACAATTCCACAGGATGCAGTCAGGGCAGTTAGAGTGGGATCAAAGTGTTACAACTGTGTAGTGTGAAAAGTCCCAAGTCTGTTTTAAAGAAAGCAGAAGATGAGAGAGCAGGTTAACATACAGACCACAAATGGATCACCTCATTACAATGACATGGGTTGTATGTTTTCTTCTATTATAATAATCATCATCATTTTTTCTTTTTATATTATCATCTATGCACATATGTCAGTTTTATGCAGCCTTGGTCATCTTTTTTTCCAACATGCACTTTCCTTTTCTTTTCTTTTCTTTCTTTTTTTTTTTTTTGGCAATGTATTTCTTCCCTTTTGGCAACACACGAATGATTTATTAACATCTTGAATTTAAACCCACTCAAAGACTTGTGGCCCATCAGGAGAGAATGCTTCTGGAACATGGCCATACAGCCTGAAAAACTTACAGCAACCCAGAGATTCCAGCCATGAAAACCTTTGACAATAAGATAGGTTCTATGGGTTTGATCTTAAGTTGAATTTGTACGGACGTCAAAACAGGTACATTTTTCAGTTGCATCTCCAGCCAAATATATGACCAGGTGACATCAGAATATGGTCAAGAAATGTTATTAAAGAGGGATCACAGAGAAAGCAGAAAAGGTTGCAGCAGTTGGCTCTTGCATGAATCTATCAGGAAGGACAAAATCCATCCTCTTCCCTCTTCTTCTCCCTGCTGATTTAATTGATTTAAACTACTTGATTGAAAGTCGGTTTGTAGCAACTGCCGCTAGCAGGATGAAGGGAATAAGTGGGAAGACAAAAAGCAGGACATAATAAAAGCAGCCCAAAGGTGGGATGTTAGAGGATTCATCAGGACTGTCCCTGACAAATTAGGACAGCTGGATTCTGTTTTAATATGTTGTGTTCTCTGACACTCACACAGCCTGCTATTGCAAAGACCTACTAAATTGTTTCAAAGTTTTGGACGTTCCCAGCATTCCCATGCAGGGTGTGGATGGGATGCTGTTCAGTTATAGTTTTGCAATTATATATGGTTTGCTTTTCTTCTTCTTACTTGTTCCAACATGGCATGAGCCATCAAATATTTAGTACTCAGCAAGCAAATTTGCTGGGCTTCACCCACTGGGTCCTTCCTGTCATCCTGCCATGGAACCTCAGTGTGCTTTGCCAACATGTGCTCCTGTGATTAATTCATTCCATCATTTTGTCTGAGAAATTAAGCTCAATACTGAGAAAGGAGCAGGTGGCTTGGCTCTCTTTTGGGGGAAAAGAAGTACAGTTCTACTAACTGGAAAGTGGCAGCAGCCAGCTGTAAAATGGGATCTGAAAAGGAAGGCAAAAAGGTCCCTTGTTCATTAAAAAAGGGCTCAGTTTCTGATAACTAGCCAAGCAAATATAATTTTAGCCAATCCAGAAAAATTCTGGCTGTCTACTAGCCACTTGCTCTGTCTTCTTTGGAGATGGGAGGTGTTTCCCAACGTTCCCATGCAGTTGGTCCTCGGTATTCATGGATTCAACCATCTATGACTTGAAAATAGTTTCAAAAAATCCAGAAACCAAAACCTGATTTTGCCATTTGTATAAGAGGCAATATTTTAGTGCACCATTGCCTATAATGAGACTTGAGCATCCAAAGGATTCCAAGATCCACAGGGAGTTCTAGAACCAAACTCCAATGGATACGAAGAGCCCACATGCCTGCCTTTTTTACTTGCTTCCTCATTACCCAAGAAACCTGGCCAATAATAAATTCTACTCTCACTAATCATCTTGTGCTTTGTTTATCTTGTGCTTTGTTCTCCTTTCCTACTTATTGAAGTAAACCAAAGTCTGTGTCTCCTCCAA